TTTGTCGTAAAAATAAATTCAATGTTGTATTCATTTAGTCATACATATTGTATTTGGGTATTATCATAAATAAAGCAAAAATAAATTACAATTAAATGATTGAATCAATGCAAATAGTAAACTTACCTTGAGTGTGTTTGAATGTGGGTATTCCATATCATGCACCATCTTAAGGGTGTGGGTGGATGTGGATATTACATATTTATATAGTATCCAAACTCATATCCACACCTACACCCACATCCACCCTTACGAAAAGATTTTTTTTGCTGTGCACTTCATTAAGTTAAACGTTTTTGTGTAAGAAAAAATATACTTTTTAAAAGTCAATGAGAAAAGAAATGTTTTAATAGAAATAATTTTTCTTTGTTTAACAGAAGCAAAACAAAAAGAATCAACCAGAATATGTTTTCAATTGTTATTATTCCTGTGATATATCATTAACCGACAAGTCCTGCTTATAAACAGATTATTTTATCAAATATTCACACATTTTGAATGGATGTGCTGATAGAAATTATGCTTATCAGAAGATGTAAACCGCATCTTATAATCGCGACATGCAGAATCTGTTTTTGAGGATTGTACTGTTGTAAACGTTTGTATTTTTTTGACTTTCGTAGAAGAGTATTCGCAGTGCAATAATAATTAAAAGAATGATTCAATAAAGTATATGGCAAGTGAGTGATACGTCACTTCTGTTTTTTTCTTCGCTTGTTCAATGCTATTTGTACATGATTTGTCAACTAAAAGATATATATTATCTTGGTTTCTCTTGTACATTGAATAAGAGAACGGATGATCCTTCGATTATTTCGAATTTACTATTTTTAAATGCTTTATCAATATTATTCGTTATGATACGAATACAAAAAAAAATAGTGGAAATTCAGTTATACTAATTACCGTACAATAATTTTTTACACCTCTTTGATATGTTTTGACCATTATTTTCTATCTTGACAGTGTGGATGGGTGTGCCTATCTTCTTTTATTTCACATGCTACATCAATATATTTAGATCTTTTCCTCCTCTTCATGTATACTTATGTAAAAAAATTAATGGTAATAGTCTTTTTATAAAGCAACCGATACGTCTTTCCGATGCTGTGCAATGTATCATCGAATATTCTGATAAATTCTTTTCTTTAAATATTACACACAAGAATCAATTGAGAAACAATAAAATCATTTCAGAAGTATGGTATTCCTTTCTTTCCTATTATCCGAGATGATTTTTTATAGTAACTGTTTACAATGGGAAAGATTTCGAAATAGTGACTTTTATTAAGGAGGATACTGCTCAGATTTCATCGAGTCTTTATTGTTTGGAATAAAACAACTAACAATAATGAACTCAACATTTCTATATTAATTTTGTTTTTTTTCAACCTCAAATGGATTGATTTATACTAAAAACACATACTAATGAGCATTCTTGAGGAAAACTGAAAACATTTTAAATTTCAAAGAAAAAATCTTAATCATCATTTTCAAGAATATTAAACTGTAAAGTGAAGTAAAAAGAATTGAATAAATTGATATTGCCAAATAATCAATGACATCTATTCAAAAATTTTATCATTAAAAACTTCTTTGATTGAATGAAAAGTATAAGATTATTTGTATCTCTATTGAAATAAAATTGTCATAATTCTCCATCTTAAGTGAATGAGAATTATTTTCAATTCAATATCAATCGATATAAAATTGTTTTTGTCATACAGATTTCTCATTAACCAATCAAATGCTTTTCTTCGTTCTTTTCCGGTCTATCGATTTTGATTCATTTCGTTTTATACAGATAAAAATACACATTCATTTGTTTTCTACACTATTCAACACATGGCAACAGCAATTAACAAAGCACAATGTTTTGTGTGTAATAAAGAAAAAAACACATACAGTTGTAGAGGATGTTCGAATGAATTCTGTTTTACTCATTTAACTGAACATCGACAAAAAATCGAGACACAATTAGAGGAAATTATTAATGATCACGATCAATTTCAACAAACAATTATTCAACAAAAACAAAATCCACTAGATTCATCTTTAATTCAACAAATTAACCAATGGGAAGCAAATTCAATTCATCAAATTCAACAAACAGCAGAAGAATATCGAAAAACACTGATGAACTTGACACAAAAGTCGATCGATGATGTGGAAAAAAAGTTCATTGAATTATCTCAGAAATTAAAAGAAATTCGTCAAGAAAATGAATTTAATGAAAATGATTTAAAACATTTTCAATTAAAACTAACGCAAATTACAAAAGAACTTCTCACACCGCCAAGTATTTCCATTGAAGGAGATTCACAAGAATTTATCAAGAAAATTTCAGTTCTTTCATCATTTGGTATGTTTATTCATTTATTTCATTTTGAGAAAAGAGAAAACGAACTTTAAGCGAAGTAATTTTTCGTATTAAAAATTAATTTTATCAACGAGATTTAGAGAGAAAAGTTTTAAAAATTGAAAATGAACAAATATAAGATCAAGAGAGAAGTCTAAAAATAGAGTGTGCGTGTGGGTGAAAATAAGGAGTCTATCTCTTACCTTCACTCACACCCTCATGAACTTTTTATCTAAAAAAATTAGATTGTTTTAAACTGTTGAATACATTTAAGTTAAGTTTAATCTTTACTTTAGAATTTTCATATGAAAGAAGTATTTTATTTATCAATAAAAAACAAGTTTTTAATCGATTTCATTCAAATCATTGAAATAAAAATGATTTTTCTAAATTAAACTTTTATGAAAATCAAGTAATGAATTTTTAATTAAAAAATATAGAGTAAATGAAGAAACTATTTGAAATTAGTTTTGTGCGATTCAAAATTAAATTTAACAAAATGAAAATTTTATTTAGAAGAAATTCAAATAAAAAAGAATAAATTTCAACAATTTGCAATTACTGTTGTTGGTGGAAATGGATATGGACATCAATTAAATCAACTCAATTTTCCTAATGGGATCTTTATTGATAATGATAAATCAGTTTATATTGCTGATTGTGTGAATCATCGTATTGTCAAATGGAAATTAAATTCAGATAAAGGTCAAATCATTGTAGATGGAAATGGAAATACTGGATTGAATAGGCCAACAGACATAGTTTTTGATAAAGAAAATAATTCTTTTATTATTTCTGATTCGACGAACAAACGAGTAATTCTATATTTTGATAAAAATCAAATAAATCAACAAATTCTTATTTCAAATATTAAATGTTTTGGTCTCACAATCGATAAAAATGGATTTATTTATGTTTCTGATTATGAGAATCATGAAGTAAGACGATGGAAACAGGGAGATAAAAAAGGTGAATTAGTTGCAGGTGGAAATGGTAAAGGAAAGCGTCTTAATCAACTAAATGTTCCTAGTTATATCTTTATTGATGCAGATTGTTCTCTTTATATATCAGATTGTGGAAATCATCGTGTAATGAAATGGATAAAAAATGCAAAAGAAGGAACTATTGTTGCTGGTGGGAATGGTCAAGGAAATAGTCGCAAACAATTGTCTGTTCCTCGAGGAGTGATTGTTGATCATTTGGGTCAAATCTATGTGGCAGATAGAGGGAATCATCGAGTAATGCGTTGGTGTGAAGGAGATGAAGAAGGTGGAATTGTTGTTGGTGGAAATGGTCAAGGAAATCAATCAAATCAATTGAATCTTCCTAGTGGTTTATCATTTGATGATGAAGAAAATCTTTATGTTGTTGATCAATTAAATCATCGAATCCAGAAATATGAAAAAATTTTAAATTAAAAAGTTAAAATGAATAAAATAATTCGAATAGAATTTTCTTGAGTCGAATCAAATTAAAAGAATTTGAAAGGAAATTTTATTGGAAAAAATTTTATTTTTATAGAAAAATCAAATAAAATATTTTTCAAATTGAGAAAAACATTTAAATTAAGAAAAAAAATTGTAAATACGGTCTGAATGTAAGTACGGTTTTGTACTTATATCAAAATCACACCCACATCCACACCCACACCGTCAAGAGTGCTGATAACCATATTTCTTCAGTTTCTTATTATTTTTCGTTACATAGTACAACCAGAATATATTGAAATCGACTATACATTATGTAACAAGTGTTATATGTATATTCAATTTATCTTGAATAAGGATAGATTCCGATGAATTCTTGTTGAGTTTTTGTGATTTTCAAATGTAAATTGTGTTTTGTTTTTTCTCATTTCATGATCAGTTTCATATTACATGTTAAGAGATAATATTTTGAATTGTGTTTTTGTAATCCATCGTAGCTATGTTTTAAAGGTCTTCTTCTTCTTTGTTATAAATGAAATGTAACAGATACCTATTATCACATAAGGAAAAAACCCAGATATACCAGCTTCAGAGTTAAAATAAAAAGATGGTTACAATTTAGCTTATCATTTTTTTCGAAACAAAGACGGCATACTAATACACAATCAAAGGTATGAAGATTATTTTATAAGAGTCAGAGGAGAAGTTTAAAAATATTCAAGATCTGTAAAAAAAAAGGAGAAGATTTGAGCTGTGTTTGAGAGGATCACATAAATTTTATCTGGATTATGACTGTCGATTATTCTACGAAGAAGTTGTTCATAAAATATTCTATAGGCTTTGAGCTCTTTGTTAAATTAAGGATCCATTCATAGTTAGATAAACCAGTCGAAGCGCAATTAAGTATCACTATTCGAAGAAAAAATGCTTTCCAATTAAAAGTTTATTTATCTGAAACTTATTTTCTTTGCACAAGAAATGTTATGTCCTAAATGACTGACTAATTATGGGTGGACTTACAGTTACACTTAGTGGTATTCTTAATTTTGAATGTGTAAAATGAAGCATTTTAAAAGCGTATTCATACTTGTGACTTAGGTAGAAAGAACTTCTAAGTCAAATGGATGTGATCTCTATAATGATAAATGAGCCTCATAATTATAATTTCACAATATTTTCTTCTCCAAATTCTTTTCAAAAATTTAGATGAGGATAATTCTGTCGCACACTTTTTATAATATAATTGGCGTTTTTTTTAAGACGCATAAACTAACAATTTTTTTATCATTAATGCACTTCTAACATTTCCTCTTGATTGATTTTACCTTTTCAGAACCACAATCAGCATTAACAAGAAAAAAAGCAACAATTACAGTATTATCACAGCCAGCACTTGGAAAGCTACCTAAACCTAATTGCCAAAATATGGAATATAAAAAACTTCTTATCGGCAAAAACGAAGAAGATATAGAGATGGCTGCAGAACGTGTGACTGCGCATAATGCATCATCAGAATACAAAGTAAGTAGTATTGTGTTTAAGGGTGCTAGTATTAGAGTAATACCTCACACTATTGTTTTGTTTCAATGAATCATATGTATTAGCATTGTCCTAATGCGGATTTAATATTAATGCTAAGTCAAAACCTCTGGTCCTGTTTTATCTGAATTTCAGCCAGAAGGGTGGATGTCTTATGCGCGTGACTGGGTGTGGTAGAATGTGTGAGATGGCCATAATATCCACACCCATACTCATACTCAAATATTAGATATTTTTTTGTCTTGACGTTAAACAAACTTTAAATAATGTCAATACATTACACGATCACTAATACTTTTTAATAATAAATTGTTTTTTCAATAGTTTTATTTTCATCGATAAGAAAAAAATCATCATAAATCGTTGCATTATTTTTAATATCATATTACACTAAAGTATTCTACCTAGACATGATTGATTTAAGTTGGATTTTTATTTATAGAAACATAAGTATATATAATCAAGATCAAATCTCTCATTGTTTGTTTATTTCAATTGTTTTTCTGAGAATTTTCACACAGGATTAAAAAAAACTGTTAAACATATTCTTATCTTTATTCGACATAAAATAAATTTTAAAAAGATATGAAATAAAATATTTCTGAAAGAGATTTAATTTTCTTCATCATTATTCGAGAAAAGATTAACAAATTGAACAAATTCAATGGTTTGCTAGGAGAACAATCAACATTTTTTAAAGAATTCTAAATGAATAATTTTTTTGATATTTAGTCTGAATCAAAGAATAAAAACAATATTAGAAAATCTACTCGTCCACATAGAGGATCGTAAGTTTTTGATTTAATTATTCGAAATATATCTATCATTTTAGATCTTTTTTTCATAGAAAAATTGTTTTTTGTTTTTCGACTATCGTTGCTGTTCTTATCCTAATAACTATCATTAGTATTGCAATATGGGTTATGTTCATTAAAAAGGCCGAAGCAACAAATAATATAACTACATCTACAATTGATGCATCGACAACAAAAACAACAATTCGTACAACGTCGACAACGGAAACAAGAATGGTTATAACGTTGACAACAAAAACTGCAATGGTTACAACATCGACAACAACGATTACAATGCCGACATCAGGAATAACAATGATTACAACGTCAACTAATTCTCTTACAACAACTATGAATGGTAAAGTTTTATTATAAAAGAAAAAATAAGAATTGACATATTTCTTGCGCCCAAAAAAATTAAGCTCCACAAGTAAACTCCAAATTTGTAGCTCACTTACGCATCCATATTTTATCTAATAATACTTCGAAATTATATAGTCGCCCAAAAAAAACTTAATAATTGAATACAGAACAAATCTGTTACGGGATGGAGAGTGCTATTTCCAAAACAGAATAATAATAGTCAACACCCAGGAATAACACTCTCAAAACAGAATAAAAGTATTCAGTACCTGAAAGGATCATTTCCATAACAGAAATGTTGTGTTCTGTTTTAAGGAATTTTGAGGTGTGAGCATATTAAAAGAATCGGCCACACCCTAAAACATAAATTTATTTTATTTTACACAAATTTTTCAATTTAAATCACTTGTTTTATTAGCAAATATTCTAAAATATTTTTTTCATACAAATTTTCATTTAACAAAAAACAAATCAACAAAAGTTTTTTATCATTTTTATTTTCATTTCAAAATAAAATATTTCTTCATTTGACTTTACTAGATTTTATTCAAAAAAACAGCAAAAGATTTTTTTCGTTAAAATTCTTTTGAAAAGAATTTATTTTTATTTTCGAAACACAAAACTTAAAATAATTAAGATTTTTTTTGTCAACAAATTCTCTTCAAAATTGAATAAAAAAATCAAACCAAATTTTTTTTTCATTAAACATGTTTATGAACATTTCGTTCAAAAATTAATCTTTTCTTTTTCTTTGATTATTTTCTAGTATCAAAATTCAACAAATGGAAACAAAATGCCATTACTGTAGCTGGTGGAAATGAACAAGGACAAGAATTAGATCAACTCAAGTACCCTGAAGGAATCTTTATTGACGAAAACAAAAATATTTTCATTGCTGATTGCTATAATCATCGTATAGTTGAATGGAAATATAGTGCAAAAGAAGGACAAATCATTGCAGGTGGAAATGAGCAAGGAAATCGAATGGATCAATTGTATCAACCAACAAATATGATTGTTGATCAACAAAATCATTCGATCATCATCGCTGATCAAGGGAATAGACGAGTGATTCAATGGTTGAATCAAAAGCAACAAATTCTCATTGACAATATTGCCTGTTTGGGCCTGACAATGGATGAAAATGGGTTTTTGTATGTTTCTGATGCTGAGAAGAATGAAGTGAGACGATGGAAAATGGGAGAATATAACAACGAAGGAATAGTAGTGGCAGGTGGAAATGGGCCAGGAAATCAACTTAATCAACTCCATCGTCCTACTTATATCTTTGTTGATGACGATCAATCTGTTTATGTATCAGATTATTACAATCAACGTGTGATGAAATGGAGAAAAGATGCTGAAGAAGGAACAATTGTAGCTGGAGGAAATGGTCAAGGAGAAAAGTTCAATCAATTGTCTTCACCTGAAGGAGTAATTATTGATGATTTGGATCAAATCTATGTGGCAGATTCTCATAATAATCGAGTAATACGTTGGCGTGAAGGAAAAGAAGAAGGTGAAATTGTTGTTGGTGGAAATGGTGCAGAAAGTCAATCAAATCAATTGAATAGTCCCAATGGTTTATCTTTTGATGATGAAGGAAATCTTTATGTTGCTGATGATTTCAATAATCGAATTCAAAAGTTTGAAATAATATTGTGAATGAAATTTTGATTTTGAAAAAAAGAAAAAAGTTTTTTGTATTGAATAAAAGAATGAAGAAAAGTCTTTTGAGATATTTTTTCTTTAAGATTGATTTCAATTTGATGATTTTGATTAAAAAAACTCCAACAAATAAACGTTAAATTCTTCATCTTTTACTGAATTTTGCGGGAGATAAGAAAAGATAATATTTCGTACTTTGAATTAAACTATAAACAGAAATTATTCGAGAGAAAGATTTTGTGTTTGATAAAATTTGAAAATTGTTCGAAAACGAAGAGAAAAATTCAAAAGAAAAATGAAACAAGCATTAATTCAAATAAAATAAAACAGTAATAAACTTTTGAAATGATACAAAACTTAAATTTGATTTTTAATTTCAAGAAGTTTTGATCAACGAGTTTTTTTACTTGATTTCTCTTAATAAAACTTTGGAAAAGATTTGTTATATTTTTCATAGAAATTGAAATAAAGATTTAATTCAATTTCCTCAAATGAAGAAATGTAACATTTTCCTTATTTTTCCATTGAAATTTGATGAAAATAAAAACAATTCGAAGGTGTTTTTATTACTTTCTATTTCTTGTTAGATAAAAATTAGTTGAAGTTGATAAACATTTAATAAAAATGATTAAATTTCATAATGAAATCAGTTGTAAAATCTAGTTTTCAGGTGAATTTATCAAGAGCGCATTGAAATATGGGAAAATGAATTTTTTAGATAAATATTTTATATGAATTTATTTAATTATTGTTAAATTGAAATAAAATTAGTCTCAATGATTATTTATTAATATAAAGCTATTACAATAATAATTTGAATAAAAATACCTAAAAGATGAATTTCTATGACTGAGGATGATTTAATGTTACTGTTTAAAGATAGAAGATAATTAAATTAAAGAAAAGAAATACAAAATTATTTAAGATGGGTGGGTGTGGGTGTGAGTTTGTTGACATAAAATATCTACATATACCCACCCTCAAGTAATAAAATATGCAAGGACAGGGGTAACAAATGTGCAGGGGTCATAAAAGAGAAAAAAGTTCAAATGGAGAGCAAAATATAGGGAAAACTACACGGTCAACCTATAGAAGAGACCAAAAAAGAGAGGTCATATATGTAACGGAACGACTGATCGTACGTGCTTCATGTAACCGAACATGAAAACAAAGAAAGGTGAAATAATACGGAGTGACCGATATGTATGTATATGCACGAGGGGGGTGTTCAGTCTACAATATATAAGAGATAGTGATGGATGAAATCCGTCACAATATCTAAATAAGTCGATAAGGAAATTATTCATTTCAGCTTATCAATTTATACTCAAAGATATGACAATGGCAAATAACAAGACAACATGTTTTACATGTAATACAGAAAAAATAACATATTCTTGTGAAGGATGTTCGAAAAGATTTTGTTTAACACATCTAACAGAACATCAACAAATATTAAATGATGAATTAAACCATATTACAAATGAATATAATGAATTTAAAGAAACAATTAATGAACAAAAACAGAATCCACAAATTGATTTATTAATAAAGCAAATTGATCAATGGGAAACAAACTCAATTGAAATAATTCAACAAAAAGCAGAAGATTGTAGAAAAACTGCTATGGAATATCTACCAACATTCTTTAATGATATCGAAATGAAATTTAATAATCTAAATGAACAAATAAAAGAAATTCATCAAGAAAATGAATGTAATGAAATTAATTTAAATTATTTAAGAAATGAATTAATAGAAATTACACAAGAACTAAATAATCCATCAAAGATTTCTATTAAAGAAGATTCACAATCATTTATTAATGAAATTTCAATTATTTCATCAAAAAGTAAGTTTTTAAGAAATAATTTCTACTTGGATCATTCTCATTTTCTGTGAAATAATATTAAAAATCAATAAGAATAGTATATTTATAGAAATAGATAATTAAATTTATTTGTATGTAAAGAAAAAGAATGATAAGATATGGTATATATTTGATAAGAAATATTTCTCTAAATATTCGTATTAAAATTCTAAATAAAACTAGATAGAATCGTAAAAACAGAATCAAAATTTCAATCTAAATTAATCTTTTCTTTTTCTTCTTCTTTTCATCAAAATCATTTTTTCATCATTCTTTAGTATCAAGATTTAACAAATGGAAACAAAATGCTATCACTGTAGCAGGTGGAAATGGACAGGAACAAAAACTAAATGAACTCGATTATCCTAATACTATCTTAGCTTATCAATACAGACATCTTTTGACTTCTGATTATTGGCAAGATCCTACTGTTGAATGGAAGCGCAATGCAAAGCAAGGACAAGAATTAAATCAACTCAATCGCCCAGGTGGAATCTTTATTGATAAAAACAAAAATATTTTCATTGCTGATTCTTTGAATCATCGTATTGTTAAATGGAAATACAATACAAAAGAAGGACAAATCAATGCAGGTGGAAATGGCCAAGGAAATAGAATAGGTCAATTGAATTGTCCAGTAGATGTAATTGTTGATCAACGAAATCATTCGATTATCATTGCTGATGGAAAGAACAGGCGAGTGATTCAATGGCTGAATCAAAAGCAACAAATTCTCATTGAAAATATTCACTGTTGTGGTTTGGCAATGGATAAACATGGATTTCTTTATGTTTCTGATTCATGGAACAATGAAGTGAGACGATGGAAAATTGGAGAATATAACAACGAAGGAATTGTAGTGGCAGGTGGATATGATCAAAGAAATCAACTTAATTATCCTACTTTTATTTTTGTTGATGAAGATCAATCTGTTTATGTATCAGATCGAAACAATCATCGTGTGATGAAATGGAGAAAAGATGCAAAAGAAGGAACAATTGTAGCTGGAGGAAATGGTCAAGGAAGAAATCTCAATCAATTGTCTTGTCCTCAAGGAGTCGTTATTAATCGTTTGGGTGAAATCTATGTGGCTGATTCAAATAATAATCGAGTAATGCGTTGGCGTGAAGGAAAAGAAGAAGGCAAAGTTGTTGCTGGTGGAAATGATGGAGGAAGTGAATCAGATCAGTTGAATAGTCCTATGGGTTTAGCTTTTGATGATGAAGAAAATCTTTATGTTGTCGATAGTGACAATCATCGAATTCAAAAATTTGAAATGATTTTGTGAATGAAATTTTGATTTTGTAAAAAAGAAAAGAAATGTTCTGTTAAATAAAAATAAAAGAAAAAGTTAAAGTTTCTTGTTGAAAATGAATGAAAAAGTCGAATAGATTTTGAAGAAAAAGAAATATATTGATAAGTTTGACTAAAAAATTCGAATAAATAAATGTTAAATAGGTCATCTTTTATTGATTTTTGTCAAATAAAAATAAATATTTATTTAAAACTAACTTGTTGTTATTATCACTGTTGTTGGATATTGAACAAGAAGAATTATTAATATAATAATCATCAATATTAATAACATAAGTATTACTGAGAGCAAACATTTCATTCGTCTAATTTATTTTATTTTCAAATATATATATAAAGCTCCCTTTTCTGGCATATTCTCGAGAGAGTTTCAGCTGTTATATCAACAAGTCTTGGAATATATTCTTTAGTCCCAGATGGAAATTTTATATTATATCAATTTATATCGTCTCAAAGTTATTCATCTCATAAATTTATAGTTAAACTTTGAAAGGAAATTATATATTGATTGGATTTTTTGCTTGAAAACAATATTGTTATTACTATTTTGTTACCACTTTTATATTTGTATAAATTATTTATTTATTTAATCTTACTAACCAAATGAAAAATAAATATCATACAAATAATTGTAGGAAATACTTTCGAATTTACGGATATTTTCTATATTTTACATTTTCATTTTAAAATATATTACACTACGTACAGATGGAAAGAGTAATAAATACTTAATCGTGCTAGTAATTTCTTTTACTCGATTACCGATGCTTAAAATGCATTAATATGAATTGATATATTCATTTATCTTATGACGTAACAGAAAAAAACAAAGAGTAATATACGAATTTAATACCATATGAATAATATGCATTGATGACGAAACAAAAGAAAATGAGGGGGTGTGGGTGTAAGTAACGCAGAGACCCACCCACATACACCAACATCCTCAAGACGGCCATGACTGAATTTAAGCAGATTGATTGAAACACCTATGAAATACTTTTTAAAAGTTTCTGTCTGAAATTGATTCTATGATTACATTATCATTATTACTAGAGGTCGGATATGAATGTAATACTTTTGAATATCTTTACAACAGCAAATATTAAAAGATATTCTCATTCCAAGAAGTGCTTATAAACTTTTTGTATTTGAGGGTGGGTGTGAGTATGAGAGTGGCTTATGTGAAGATAACATCCACACCCACACTCTCAAGATTCAATATACATCGCTGACTTTATTATTAATGTTCCATACTACATAAAAATCTTTTCAATACTTTGCCATTCAACTGTTTCTTTTTTCATCAAATCGATTCCATTTATCAATATGTGTACATTGCTTTGATTCACAGCTATTGATATGAATAATTTTGCATCACTATTATAAAATTTCAAAGGAAAGAAAAAAATATATTGACAAGCTCGAATAAGTAGTAATTATAGTCAACAGAGAGAAAACAGAACGAACATCAGTACGTGAAGCACATTTTTTCGTTTACCCGCTCCGTGTAAAGACGACAGGTTTGTTTTTCTACAGAAGAAAAAAACATCAGCTCAAACTAACGTGTGTTTAGAAAAATAACCTATGTTTTATATGTTTTAGCATTTCTAATAGTTGTGGAAGTGAATAAAATGGGTCAGAACTTATCCATCGTTAATTCTCAATTTATCGACTTAGCTAAACTCGATAATAACATTGGTGCTATTGCTACGACCCTATCCATAGATGATAAAGAACAAGAAGATGTTAATTTATTTATATCTCGAAACATTTCATCTGACATCTCGAATAATCGAATGGTGAACATCGAAGGACAATTGATCAATCGGATTCACCAGCATCTATTACGAGCAACTGATATATTCGAATTGAAAAACATTGATTCAAAATTGAATGAAACATTCAAAGAAAAAATTCTTCCATCAGTAATCACTGATTTTGAAGAAGTAATTAAAGAAATCAACAACTTACTTGATAAAAAACAACAATTACATGAATCATTTTTGCAAAACTTACACGAAAAAGAATCGAATAAAATCCACGAAGAAAACGACGCATCAAATAAACATGGCTCATCGCTTACCTCAAAATTGTCCTCTTTTATTTCAACACTAGTTGATCATGTTCATGTTAGTGCTCCAGAACGATCAATCCTGAATATTCTATCAAAGATTCCTAATAATACTGTCTATCTCAAAGATATTCTTTGTGTACTTCAACAACTGATATTTGATACAGATCATATTTATGATATTCAAAATATATGCAACCAACTCAATAGTAACTTTGAACAAGTTCATCACATATGGAACGAATACAATCCATCAGATTCAATTATTTCCGAACCCACTACTTCTCTAGAAGATATTCTATCAAATTCATTGAACTATTTGAAATTAATTAATGTTTATCCTAACGATAAACTGATGAAAACTTCAAAGAAAACTTTTACTGGACAAATCGTTGCATGCATAATCTTTGCTCATATTGATTTTTATCAAACTATTCATACACGATATAGATTTCAATCAGGTTCAATGAAAAAATCGATCTCATTTGAATTCCATTCTCAAACATTTAAAATCTTATTCAACATTATTCAACAAATAACAACAAGACAAATGCAATTAAATCTAAACGAACAATTTATCGAAAATATTTGTTTGAAATTATTTACAACACATTTAAAATTTCTTTCGGCAATGACAACAGATCATCATCGAAATCTTTCTCAAAATATGGAAACATCATCGACTGAATCGAACGACAGTATTCATTGGAATCGTTTTATGAACAACAATGAATTGCATCATTGGTTTGATACCTTGTTGATATTGACTACTGACAAGTATGAATTGAATATTCGTCGACAAGCATCAAAAGCGATCATTTATTTAATCGATATACAATCAGAATCATTTATTGATAAATTAACATTACTGCATAAATATATTCTTGAAAATAAAAATTCCGTATTGATCGAACAAATTGCAATTGAATTGAGTACAAATGCAATGTTATTAAGTTGGATACAACTCTTAGTAAATGATTTCAAATCAATGACAACAAGTCCATGTTGGGTTATTTTTAATTCATTACTTAATATTTATTTTAATTCATCAATAATGATCATATCGAAAATGTCTATTGAAAAAATATTCGTACGATTTCAACAGCTCGTTTTTGTTCAATTAATCGGCAAATATCAAAATAAATATATTATTGCAAATGATGATCATAGAATCGATTCACTTGCTATTCAATATATAGAACAAATATTTAATCAAGAATTAGTTGTTAATGATTTATTTAAATCGATTCTACTTGGTTTAGGTGTCATGACAAAAATCGAATTTCCAGCAATTCGATCGTTTTTTATGACCGTTTTACCGTTGTTAGTCGAATTTATATTGAAGAATATGAATCAGAAGGAAGATCATGTACAATATATGTATTGGTTATTAGGACAAATGATTAATACTTTGATTATGGGTCCTCCGAGTGATCCTTTCGAAATGAAATATATCGATAAATTAAAATCACCATTATTTGCTGGTGGATGTGAGAAGATAGATCAGTCGAATTTACTTGAATCAAACATAGCTGTTTACTGTCAATTACCATCAATCAATGTTCATGAAGAAACATCAGTCGATGAGGAATTTTTAATGTCAATTTACAATAATACAGATCAAGGTGAGCGATTAATATCAAAACTGCGATTGTCAATTAAAGATAAACAGTGCGTACTTCAAAAATCAATTGAAAAACAAGCGAATGATGCATGTGCTCATCTATTTGCTGTCTATATTAAACACTATCGTCGAATTAATCTTGCTAAAGACGAGCTTAATCGAGAAGACAATACAAAACCTCATAAGAGTCTTTTATCAATTTTTAACCATGCCAATCGTATTCGAATAATATTCGCAACAACACGAGGACAAGGCGGTGATTGTCAACAACTTTACGAACAAATTCGAATGAAATGTTTATTTCTTCTTCAATCTGTTAAAGCAAATCATCTCATTCCGATAATTAAAAGTTCGAAAAACGAAGAATCATCCATGATTTCAACAAAATTAGACAAAAACTTAATATTCGAACAGAAATGTTTACAAAAACGAATAGGAAAAGAGTCACTTCGATTACTTCGAGATACTTTTCAAGCGTGTATTCGATTAAAAACATTCATGTTAAACAAGAAGAGAATGCTCGAAGATAATCAAAATATTGAGGATATTCTACATCGAACCATAGCAAATTATGTTTATGGTAATAGTTCGAATAATGATATACAATCCGAATCGAATGAACTTCTTCGAGCGATGTCTTGTCAGAACGAACGAGCAATGCTTAGATTAATTACCTATAGATTTATGCACACATTTCTTCAAAAACTCTGCCAGATTGAACAAAAAACGAATATCATGCTTCTATTTGCGATTTGTTTACCATATTTAAGGACTGGAGATGTTCAATGGTCCTATTTAGAAAATATCCTTGCCGCTAATGTTCAATGGAAAGATGAAATCGGTCGAATTTATTATTCGATTGTTGAAATCATTCTATCGATGAAAATCAATGAACCAATGGTAGTCTTCCATTTATTGAATATATCGTATACATCAACAGATATTCAACAATTACACCAACGATTATTTATACCATTCATTAGTTGTCTCAATGTTTCTTTTCGTGAAAATTTTGTTGCATTCAATTGGTTTCGATTGTATATTTTACAATTATGTGAAAACTTTCTCGTCAATGATTTACAAGAGATATTCGATCAGCAGCTGGTGTTTATCTTTCATCAATTGATTTTTAATGAATTAAAACAGTTATCATCAAACGATATTGAACTCATAGAATCTCAAAAGAATTCTTTTCGAATAGCAACATTTAACCCTGAACTGGGCATAAATCAATGGTTGATGTTACTACTTCGATGTGTACAATATTATGAGCATGTACGAATACTTTGCGCAACTGCTGACTATATTAATGAACTCATACGTATCTATCGACATAGTAAACATTTAACTACGATTTTACTTTCATTAAAAATTATACGTAAACTTCTATTAAACTTGCCTGATAAACAAGATGAAGTATCTAAGACGATCGTGACGAATCTTTTAGATGATATATTACGTACTATTGGTGATAATCTTCGTTCGTTTCAAATAACAGTTGATGTTATCACCGAGCTGATTTATATTTATCGAACAATGTTATCATTTCAATCCCCCTGGCAATCGATGGCAACACAGACGATTATTAATATTATTACAACAGCATCGATGGATAATAATCTTCTAGCAGTATTAAGTATTTTAGGTGGATATATTCATCCATTTTGTTTAGGCTCAATTGTACAAGTCTATGATAATGATCAAAGCAATAATGAACCACAAATGGCAGTCATACTCGAAATTGATCGATCGTATTTAGTTCAATATTGTGAAAATAATCAAACGAATTCGGTAACAGGAGATCAACTACGAATTGAGCTCGATGTTTTCCCGCCGAATCTTCTTGATTTACCAATTACGAATGAAACTATTGGTGAATTGTTCGATGTTTTGATATCTTTTATTGAAACCGATCAATCAGTGATAGATCCGTTACTTGTATTACAAGTAAAACGTCGATCAATTGGTGTTTTATATCGATTATTGATGAGTAAAAAACTCTTGGAAATTTTCATGAGAAACTCCAATGCATCGTGTATAGCCAGACTATCAGCATCGGCTTTGTCAACAACCCATCGATTACAACCAACTGATTTGCGTCTTTGGAATAAACGGCATTTAGAGCAATATTGTTTAAGTTTAGATCGATGTGAATATTTAAAACAAATCATTGATGATATAAATGTGAAACGTGAAAATGAAACACCAGTTCCCATTTGGAATCGTTTTAGATTTAAAACAGATAGAGAATATATAGCTGATGGTCATCAATGGAAACCGATGGGATCAAAAGACGATATTGAAAAATTCAAGCAAGGTTGGACAGGTAACGATGATATTTGTATTGTGCCGATGCCGCCTCAGCTCACTGGCCAATGGATCATAGAAGAATGTGGCGTTAGTCATCGATTTCCTGGACGAGTTTGTTTAATATCTGAAACTGGTAATGCATCATTAGCTACATTTATTATAGATCAACTTCATTTAACTAAAGGCAATTGGTACTTTTGCGTTCGTCTGCTCGAAAGTCATTTTGCTCAGATTGGATGGTCCACCACTGGATTCAATCCGAGTGAAATCATCGGCATTGGTAATGATACATATTCATGGTCTTATGATGGATCTCAAGGAATGCTCTACAATCGAGAACAAGCATTATTTCCTACTAGTAACGTTCGTTGGAATATGAACGATGTTTGTGGTTGTGGCATTGAAATCGATGGTGCTAACACTCAAATTCGCTATTGGCTCAATGGACATTTATTAGGCACGGCTTTTGCTCATCAGAACTCAATTGGTTTGACGGAAATATCATGTGATATGTTACCGAATGGAGTCGACACACCTTTTTTTCCTGGTGTTAGTTTAAAAGTCAATGATGCATCTGTATTGAGTTCATGTGAGTTTATATTCAGTCCGGAAGATATGTACGAATGTCCACTACCAAACGGTTATAAACCATTATTATTACCGACATTGATTAAGACAGTAACCTATCCGTCTAGTGCTTATTTGATTAGTAACAGTGTTCAAGATAACATTTATCGAAAACGAAATGATGATTCGACCACTTTTCTACGTGATTTCGTCAATGATAATCATCTTGAAACTGAATATATCATTGATAATCATCATTTAGTATTACCGAAAGATAGTCAAGGTTTCCTATTAACTATGAATGATAATAGTAGTTCATGGACAATAAGTTTCGATTTTCAACTGGATAAAATCTTACACGATGATATTCCATTAATAACATTGGAAACATTTTCAATATCCATTCCATCGAGTAAAATAACTGATGAAACTCAAGCAGCGATTACATTCGATGTCGATAGTCAACAAATCAAAGTTTATATCAACAATGAATGCCGAATATTCGATAGTCCTGCCATTGCTCAATCCAATATTTATCTTTTACCAACATTATCTGGTAAAATTCAAAAGCTAGCTGTCTGGAACTATGCTTTATTAGACGAACAAATTCGACGTCTCTTCAATTTCGGATTATCCTATGTAGTTACGGATTATCATCGACTTAAAGAATATCGAATGCAAGCCAATACATTGACATTTACTTCGAACCAGAAAGATTTTATAGGTGAATTTCTTGTACCAGTAAATCAATCAATTGAAGCCGAGAAGAATGAATGGAAATATTTCAAACCAATCGATGGAACTGATTACTCAACAATACAATTATTCGGAAATCAAACTTATCTCATGTTGGACAAATCGACTAATTTATGGTTGGACTATACATTGATTCTTGATGTTTCTGTCGTACATTTACCTATCGCAAATGAACAATTGACATTTGTAACACTAAATTCACAAACAAACATTTGTTTGACAAACGATGGTTACATTTGTCTTATTATCGATGGTACACTGAAAATCAAAAGTAAGCCTATATGGAAATTAAATCAATATGTACGTTTACTAATATCTGTTCACGCGCAATGTCTGAAAATCTATGTGAATGGTATACTTGAGCTCGATATTTCTGTCGATAATGATCAATTCATGATTAAAGACAAGTACATTAAACTATTTTGTGAAGATCATTCTACTAAGAACACAGTTGATGATAATACAATTCGGATTGAATGTCGATCGATTACCTATATGAATTGGTTTATAGATAATATCGATGAACAAATGAAATCAGTTGACTATTCATTAGAAAATATTGTTGCACCACCATATTCCATTATGTCACCAAGTTTGATTTCTATTGGACATGATGAATCACTGATCAAGACGATAATGAAAGAAAATTTAGTTAAAAATTGTCAATCAATTGATAGAATTATTCGTGAACAACAGGAAGCACCTCTCAAAGCAATGATGGCTGAAAAACTCAGACGTCAACGTGATCTTATAGGAAAAGTGAGTCCATCAATCGATAGAGAAAAAGTTCAAAATTTGCTACAAATTTCTGAATTTGATACCGATGAAAAGATCATTGCTCTTGGCGAGATTTTATTCGATCGATGGAATGATATACAAAGCTCTAATCCATTACCTGACACCGATATTAATCTCACTGAATGGCTTCAAGATAAATCCACGGTATCCGCTGAAGAAGTCGATCCTACCTATCAATTACTAGATTTAAATCGATCTATACAAGAACAGACAACATTAACCGATCGAGTTGAAGAACAACGAAAAAAGATTAAAAAATCTAGTGAATATAATCATCAACAAATAGCTCATCGACAATTTAATGATTCACGTATAGCTTGTGAACATGGATTGATATCCATGTATGCTCATTATACAATTTTAACTATGTTAAAAGTTTGGTCTACTGATGGATCATGTTTATTTCCATTGGAGAAATTTGGTGATTCTACATTTATTATAACATTATTGAAACTATTAGATTATCATTATAATTATACACGGTTACATACAGATGAAACTATCGATCGAATGAGTTTATTAATTACATCAATACTCAAAGTCGAAACTAATGAATTACTGAAACATCATGAATCGATTAGTAGAGAAATCTTACAAAATAAAGCACCATTACTTTATCAATTGCAAAAGAATTTCATTATTCAATCAATTCAATTTCTCGCGGATAAATCATTATTACTCTATGATTATGATGATGAATCGACTATGATCGATAAACAATCTATGATACGAAAACCAAATTTAAATTTTATTCTCAAAGTTATCAATCTATTTGTTAAACTACTCACTGATCAATCAACAATATCACAAAATGAAATCGATATTTTAATTCCTCTGTTATTTCCAGCATCACTCATCAATCAACTATTCAATTTATTTATCGTAAGTCCAATGCAACAATCGAAAATAATCATTATCCATTTATTTTCGACGTAAGTAAACTACATATTGAACAAAATAAGCGATTCTAGTTATTTCTTTAGTTTAATACAGAAAAGCAAATATTTCAATTTGAGCGAACGTAGTCAACATTTTTTATATCAATTATCAATTGAATTACCACCTGATTCAACATCGATGAATAGTCGAACGACAAAAACATTTCAAATTGCGATTGCCGACTTGATCTATTTACTTGATGAGAGACATCGACATCAAAATCTATTGATCAAAATAGATTTTTCTCAGTTTTCTCAACATAACAACAATCTATTGACATTTATTGATGTTATCAATGCCTTAACTGATAAAAGCAAACGAACGCTTTTTCCAGAGGCATTCATTCTTCAATTTACTAGAGATGAACTTGAACAATCACATTGTCATTTCGATACAACTGCTGATCTTCAGCTGATTGATTTTATAAATCATCATGCCCTTACTAATGAATCTTTCGTTGAATTGATTAATAGTCTACCAACTGATGTCTCACAAAATCCAACATATTATAAAGCCTATCCATCTTTATGGCATATTCCAACTACTTGTATTCAAATTCGTATCAAATGTGTATGGCAATTGAATATACTCGTCGAAAATGTGATATCCAGTGTTGATTTTAGTTTGTTGCCTGGAGAAAGTATCCTAACTGACAAAGTTCGGGCAGTTAGACCTTACGTATTATATAAAACAAAATTGCCACTATTTAACACAACTCTCATGATGACCGAGCTTCCATCACAAGGTGACATGATAACAGTTAATTTTGATACTGTTCGAGCCAGTATTAAAGATGATCATGGTTTAAATACAATGTTTAATCAAGCCTACGAACAATTGTATGACAAAGCTCAAGTACTATTTCGACGACAGGACGAACGTCTATGGAAAGCACAATATCTTGGCATGCATAGTACGGATGCAGGTGGACCTTATCGAGATTCTATCACGTGCATTTGCTCAGACATTTGTAGTGAACGCCTGCCATTGTTTATTTTATGTCCTAATGGACGAACAAATAGTGGTTCGAATTGTGATCGATGGATTCCAAATGTATATTCGCCAGATAAACTGATTCCTAATCGAACAAAAAATCAATATCGATTCGTCGGACAATTGATGGGTATGGCTATACGACAGAAGAATTATCTTGATTTGAAATTTCCTATGTTATTATGGAAACAATTAGTTCGAGAACAAATAACAAGTGAAGATATTGAAGCAATCGATATACAGAGTTTTACAATGATCAATGAAATGGAGAAAACAATGCCAGAAAATGATCAATCAATTGATCTTGATGATGTACTCAGTAGTATATTGGATGAACTACGATTTGAAGTTGTCAGTTCAAATGGATCAACATTTGAACTTGTTCCTAATGGTCAAGAAATACCAGTAACGATAGCAAATTTCAAAGAATACTGTGCGAGTTATCGTAATTATCGTTTGAATGAGTTTCATCGTCAAATCGAATTTATTCGTCAAGGTTTATACAGTATTATTCCTGGCTACTTTTTGAGTTTGTTTACAGGCAGTGAATTAGAAGAAGCTGTTTGTGGAAAAGGTGAAATAGATGTAGAATTATTAAAACGCAACACTAACTATGGTTCTGCTTATAGTCCAGATGCGCCATGTATTCAACGATTTTGGATCGTTCTTGGTAGTATGTTTACAGAAGAGCAGAAGAAATTGTTTTTGAAATTTGTCTGGGGAAGATGTACATTACCGAATAGAGATGAAGATTTTACAGCTCGTTTTACAATTAATGGATTTGATATAACTAATGGTCCCGTCGATGGAGCGCTACCAAGTAAGTCGCATGTAGAAATTTTGACGAATAAAATAATCTAAACTTTATTATAGGATCGCATACATGTAGTTTTGCTCTGGATTTACCAGAGTATTCGTCAACAGATGTTATGTATGATCGATTAAATTATGCTATTACATATTGTTCAAGTATTGATGGCGATGGTAATATGAACGAGATGCCTGATTCAGCAATTCTTATCGACGATTAAACCAACAGAACTTGACTTATTTCTTTCTTTGTGATATTTTATTTAGAAATCAATTTAATTGCTTTAATCGATTTATATCTTTTTTCATAAAAAAATCTTTATTTTTCATTAACAAAGAATCGAAAACTAAAAAGAGCCTTTGAAGATTATTGTTCCCATCTTGTGCGTGAGTTTCTAAATACTGCGACCATACCAACTGGAATAGATGTTGGTTCGACGATGAGAAGACTTCCATACTTCTTGATCATTTCTTCATGATGTAAACTAATAAGCCATTTCCAATAATAGGTTAGTCCTTGCCAAGTCTCAGATACTGAAGATGCAAAAGCTTCTATTCCATCACCAATAATCGAGAGAGCAGCCATAGTTTCTGGCGTACTGTTCAAATGAACTGGTATCGGTCGTGTAAGAAGAGTATCAAAAGCATTCACCCATCTCATTGAACGTTCCTCTCGACATTTAATAAACTCTTCGAAGCTAAAGAAAGGATCCGTAGCCGAAATTTGTACCACATATTGCTGTTGTTGTATGACTTGATTGAACGTCGTTCCATCTTCCCATAATCGTTTGGCATTTTCATAATCATCCCGTTCCCATGTCTTTGCAAGTTCTAGGATCCATTCGGGATCCTCCAGTAGATCTTCACGTATGGCCAATAGTTCAACAAAGAAATCTTTCACTTGCAGTCCACCCGCAGCAGTCGGCCAGAAATACCATCCTACAGGAATGTTTGTAACTCCAAAATTCTCTTCTAATCTTGCGGCAAGTGCCATGACAATATTTCCTTTCGTGTTCGGGAACAGTTTATTATGAATTCTAACCAAAGCATCAATAACACCATCAATATGTGCTCGGCCATAGACTTTGGCACCACTGCCAAAATTTCGAATAAAAAATGTCATGTATTTATTATAAGCTTGTACCCATGCAAATATCGAATTCGTTGCAGTGAGTTGCCGTTGCATTTCAACGACATGTTCGTCTACCATAGCTAGATCAATGACAAATTTGCCTCCTGAAGTTGCATCCATTTTTAAAAGACCCCAATGTATATCACCTTGTGGTAAATCAGCATGCAATTGATCTTTCTCACCAACATGGACTGATCCTGTCTTCATTTGATTGAACTTTAATCCAGCTAAGTCGGCAAAATCATTCATAGTCTTCCATGCTTGAGCACAACGAGTAGATTGTGAATCGAGAAACCAGAAATCATCATGAATACGATATAGAAAGATACCATTCGTTTTTCGATTGACTGCATAATCCATGACAAAAAGTACAGCTTCACCACAGAAGACACTGAGAGAATGTGCAACAGGTGTTCCACGTTTTCGAATGCATGGAGAATCCGCTGGTGTCGATTTGTATGCAGTTGGATCGGCCAAATAACTGTTCATCGAACCAGTAAACTTTAAAGGACAAGCGAGAAAGGCTTCGATAAACTGAAGATCAGGATGAGAAACACCAAAGAATGTTAGAATTGTCAAGATCGATTGATGAGCAAGAGAAGGACCAAACCATTCCAAGTCTGTTCGAACGACAGTACACTGATTATGCAAAGCTCGATTGAGAAGTACGTCAGTACATACGATATGTAAAAGAGATTGTTTAAGTTCAACAGGAGTATCAAAACGAAGTTGATCTTCTGGATAACGTCCTGATCGTTGTCGACGTTCTTTATTGATGGTTGCCATACTTTCATCATCTTCGTCAACATCATCATAATTGTTGAAACAATCAACACTATTTGGTAATTGACACATAAAATAATGGGATTGTTGAAACGTTCGTCGTCTTTGCTCAATTGAAGCAGGAAAATTCGTACTATTAAGAAATATTTCTGATCGTGCCAAGTCTACTTTACTGAGATTCGAAGGAGGTAGAACCCATGCTCGAGAACTTCGGAATTGTAAGAGAGCTGCTTTGAATTCTATTGACCATTTGATTCCAATATATTGAAGAAAAAGACTAGTCAGAATCTCTCCATCTAAATAGAAACGAATTTTTCCATTTATAGCTTTTCTTGGCTCTGCTGGAACTCCATCTTCTGGCCAATGCCAAGTTTGAAGTGAACTTAATTGCATGTTCAGTACACTCGCTAACTCTTTGATAATAACAGGATTTTGTGCAAATTCCTTCAGTATAGTCTGCTTTGCATCGGATAAAAGATCGGCAGCTAATAATTATTTGATACACCATTCCATATCATATTCGTTAATTGTAGTGCGTCGAAGAGTATCTCCAAAAGTTGCAAGTCGTACTCGCAACGCTGCCAATGCTTCTTGTGCGTCTTTATCACGAAAAAGATCTTCTAGATATGCTTCCAGTCCATGAACGTCGATTTCTCTCTCGCGAAAGATAATCGACTCGAGCTGTTTCTTTTGTTCCATAGTATCAGTTGAATTAAGTTTCTCAGAATCATCTTGATTCCCAGTCGCCATGTTTTGATCTGCTTGCGTATTTGTTGTTCCAATACTCTGAGACGAAACTGTAAGCCAATCGGTGAGAAGATTGCCGAAAAGTTTCGCATAATCATATTGAGTATTCTCCTGATTGATTCGATCCGTCAATTTCTGTGCCCAACTTTCCAGCAGTGATCGAGGAAATCCTGGATCTAGTGTAGCCTATGAAACAAAAGAATAAAGATGAAAATGTTAATAGCATAGAAAACAAAAGCTGTACTTGATGCAACCAACGTTGAATATTATCAAGATTGAGATTTCCATTAGAAATTCGAAATCCAGACCATGATGTAATACCTTGGACGAGAGTCGTGACCTTCTCTATAAGATCGTTGTCATGTTTTTGTGCATCAATCAGCACTCTTGACGCATGTTGACTAAATGCTTGACGACGTTTTTCCAGTTCTTGAAGTTTCACATTCGTCACAAATTGTAATGTTTCACTAAATGCAGCAGATGACATGATAGTGTGTTGAAAAAATCGAGGAACCAAATGAATTGATTGCTTGTTTTCACTTCAACATTTCTCTTTTATAGACAAAAAGAAGAAGTATTGCACAAACAACTCAACATTCTTTCTGCATGAATGTAAAAAACACACGCATCTTGTTCTGTACATTATTCAAGAAACGTAGAATCGATCATCAGTCATGTGAATTTAGTATTTTCAAATGAAATTTTCTTTAATGACGAAATAAAGACTATTTTTTTTCAATGAAAATATTTTCTATTCTCCAGCGGACAAAAAAATCGCGTTTTTCCATTTACCTTTTACACTGCGTAATTCTTTGTTTCAAAAAAAAAAAAATATTCCACAAGATACAATGTGAAAAGAAGGGTGTAGGTGTGGGTGTGGGTGTAAGAGAATAAAGAAACACTCACACCCTCTCTGCAAGTTGTATATTGTTTGACAAAATATATTCTGATTTCAGACAAAGCAAACGTAGTTAATTAGCTGTCATATTAGCATCGGCCTCCGCACCTATTGTAACGAATTGAAATAACGCATTCCCCAATAACCCAACAGAAAGTTAGTTGGATCAGTTTCAACAAATCCATCTCCATCATCCAAATCGTAGACTCCTCGGACCAAGTTTTTAGTAGATCTTTCGTCCGCAGGTAACATCTTTAATGACTTAATCGGCTGATAGCATTGAGCAGGCACGTTGATTTGTACGTCCAAGCGATCACTGTTGAATTGTGGCCAATTAATCAATTCCAATGGCCAACGCTGCATATGCCATACACCGTCATTTGATAAAGAATTGCAATTATGCTGAGAAGTTCTCATAGTCAATCCATGACGTTTGTTAGATGTATTGCGGGTTCGATTGACTTGACCACTGGCATAGCAATAGATGAAATTAAAAAATGGCGTTTTTTTCCATTTTTTTGTAATTGTGTGAAAGATCGAGTCCTATTTCCATATATTCCCATAAATCATCAATTAGTGATTGTGCACGTGCCTTTTGAACTGTAGATAAACTAGCCGAAGAAGCAATTGTATGGAATGCATGGACTAGGTTAAAATAAGACAAATAGGCCATTAAATCATAATTAAAAGCCGGTAGAGCATAGAATAAATCACTAGCACAAACAGCAACCATCTTCTGATTAATAAGATTGACACTATATTGATAGGATTCAATAAGAAGATTGGCACCATCGAGAAAACGTTCATCACCACTGTAACCATATACTTGGAGTAGGTAAGCCAGTATCTGAAGACTATTTATACCTCGATCTTCTTGGTACCGACTATCATTATTTATTTGAATAGGATTCCAATAACCCCATGTGGTACGATTATGACTCTCACCAAATAAATACCAATCATGAGTCAGGATATGATTGGTGATATTGAAAATGAGTGTGTAAGCTCTTTTTCGTTCGTCATCGTTGCTAGCAAGTAAGTCATGCACGAGAGGATATACGAACTCATGACCACAAATTTCATCAGATGAGGTATCACCCTCAAACTGAAGATCTGGATAAACGGGAGAAGGATACCATGGAATCTTAGAAAGAAAGTCGCTACGCTTTGCATATGATCGAGCAGGATAACCAGGAATACCTGACGAAAATGGAAACAAAGCATAAATTAATCAAAATTACCAGTAGACATGTCAGTTTCAGATGCCGTTCTTGGGAACGGAATATCAACGAATGAGAATTCTCACACCTCTAATTCTTAATAAACGTCCTTGTAGTCAATACGCTACCTGTAACTTTATTGAGAAGTTCCATTGCTTCAAAGTGTTTCCAAGCCTGTGCTTTGACTCTTGCATCTTGCGTCACAACATAGCGAAATATCTGACTAGCCAAATACATTGAAGTCCACATGCCATCATTATCATCTGATTCTTTGATGCAAGTACGACTATCGCCCCATGATGACATAGAGCAGTCAGAAATGAATCCATTTTTATCATGTCTTCCTGGTTGATCGACGAGCATTTGAAAATGATCTGCTTTCTGTGCTAGTGTCCACATCTCAAAACGAAGAATAGTGAGACCTTTGTTTGTGATTGCTACTACGCCACTACCCAGATTAGGAGATGCATCGCTGTGACGGCTCAGAACAGTCAAAGAAGATACATGAACCAACGACTCACGATTAGGCATGTATCTGGCACTATTGAATACACGCCAAGCATTGATATCACTACTGTTCGAATCGAAACGCATCACCCCACGTACCGCACCCAGCCATACACGACCATCAGGTAACATCGACTGACTAACACTTAGACTCGTAATGTTGGAAAATGGAAGATGACCAATATCTGATCCAGGATTAGAGATTTGTCCGGCCAATCGAGAAAAAAACCAATGAAGACGACCTGTCGACATAATAATCGGGGAAAGAAGAGTTATTCCGGAACTTTGGCCGATCCACAATTTATCTTGCATATCATTATAAACCAAAGAAGTAATCGGTGCATCAATAAGTCCTGTGACATGTTCAAAACGCCAGCCTTGTTTATCAATACCGTACGAGTAAATCCAAAGTTTAGTATTAGTACCAGCGAATATTGTCTGTCGTTTGGAACTCCATGCCAAAGAAGAAACAGATACATTGATCTCATTAAGAAATGGATGAATGATAAATGTCGATAAGTCCAGTCCATGCAGTCCCGAATCTGCAGCAAAATACAGCCATCCTCTAGCTCCTAAATCCTCTACAAAGATACCGTCTGTAATTTTAGTAGTATTCAGAAGGGCAGAAGGAAATAATATTATTTGTATAACTTTGCATAAACTAGCATCTGATCGATTACATAGAATAAAGTGTACACTATCAGGTGAGATGAGTGCAGCTGTGTATTTTAAAGCAGTTTCTTCATTATGTGATGTAACCAAAAGACTGCTATTGCTTTTAACATCGATCTCAGATAAAATTACCATAGCCCCATTAGCAGATAAAGACATCCAAGACATATGAAGTGTTCTAGCTCTTGTATTAAAAGTCTCAGTACTGCTCTGAAACAGTAGCCAAACTCCTACAGCAGCTTGAGAATGATATCGTGGCAATGAAGCAGCTTGCCATACGTAGGAAACATTAGAAAGAACAGTCCAAGCACTAGATTCATTAGCAAACGGAGCAAATAAATAACGTTCAGCAATGACTTGCTCGAATTCATAATCCGGTATAGGTATTGGTGGTACTGTCTGACTATTAACAAAAAATGTATGTCTTGTTAAAAATAAATTTTTGATTATTAACAAGTAAGTAAAAGACCAAATGAATGTCGACCACATTATATCACCTTCAAGTGAAAAATATATGAAGAAAGAATAACAAATGTCTTATATACGTCGCAGATATAACCATCATCTTCAAAACACAAGCTAGAACGACAATAAGATAACAATATCTTGCGCATATCAAGTTAGTTAAACACATGCTGAATATTCGAATGTAAGTTAAAAAATTATTATCATAAAGTATATGATGAGAAATTGTTACCAGTTTCAAAATAGTCTTTTCGTGCTTTTATTAATGTGCATGTTTAACCATATAAACACATATATAAAAAAATCTCTTTACGTTAAGTTTATTATAAAAAGAAAATATATAAAAGATATTAAATATAATTTTTTAATTTAAAAAAAATAAATACTGTAGCTTTAACCATTTTTATAAAAAAAACGCTCATTTCGACCTTATTTACCTCAGTGGTAAATATGCTCGTCTTCAAATCACTGATTCGTTTGTTGAAATTTGAGTTTGATATTTCTAAGCTAATAATTTAGTTTATTTATTAAATTAGTCCAAAATCTTGATGGTGTGAGTGTGGATTAGTTTTGAATTGAATACCCAAGTCAGCCCGCACCCTCACGCGCTTATAGAAATGGAATTCAACAATAAGCACTGATAAGTCGCCATCAATCTGCTGTATATATTGATGTATTTCTAATTTCAAAAAACAATAAATCTCAAGCGCGAATAAAAGTCATTTTTACGAGCAACTTGTTAGAAACAAATATTCAAAAAAGTATGCAATATCAAATAATCATTTCGCTGTATCTTTATCGAGTAATAAAATTTTGCATGTTGGTGAGAAAGAAACCTATCAGTCATCTTACTTCACCTCACATTTGTCTTATCGATCGTAAACTGAGAGAATTTCTTGATACTTATCATTAGGTGATCCCGAGTGTTTTTGTGGACAATCATATATTGACTTGTAGAGTTTTTGATAATCCTTCACTGGCCAATCTGAATCATGACAACGCGGTTGGTGTTACAAATATTTTGTGTAATATTTCTTGGTATTGAAATTATCAAGTCTCAAAATAATACTGATACAACAATTCAGTATTACAGAAAACTTATTGTTGGAGATACTAGCATGCTTACCGAGTTGAATATGTTCTTAACAGCTATACCCAAAGGTGGTGATTTACATCATCACTACTCAGGCTCCATCTATGCTGAAACTTATTTAAATTGGATCGCTAAACATAATTATTGTATTTACCGTGAAGATGATCCTGCATTAAAATTCCAAAAGTACAGAATAGAAACTAATGTTTCACAATTATCGGACGCAGCTAAAGCTTTGTGCATTACCGCTGATGCAACACGTTTAAACAATGATTTTTATCGTGAATTACTAAAGCGTTGGTCTGATATCGATTATGCTAATCATTATCATGATCAACCACCGCCGGATCAACAATTTTTTGATACTTTTAGTTATTATGGTCCAGTTTCCTATCAAGAATATAATGAAGGATTGATATGGTTAAAAAATACAGCCATGAATGAAAATGTCCAATATATAGAAACAATGCTAACTAGTGGACCAAATCTAGCAGTTAGCAATGAATTGATTAGTATAGTAGATGGTTTAACATCGAAATCAAATGATAACGATATAGATAGAATATTAAAAATTTATTTTGATACAGTTGAAAATGATATTATAGTCAATGCAACAATAAATAATTATGTTAAAATGATCGAAACAGCAGCAGATGGAATTAATGATGTTAATTTCACGCTACGTTTTCAAAGTTATGTAACAAGAAGTAATACACCTTCTCGCGTATTTGCCAGTTTATTTTCAGCTTTCTCTGCTGCTGTACGTAGTGATTTAATAGTTGGTGTTAATATCGTTGGTGCAGAAAATGGTATTGTATCAATGCGAGACTATACATTACATATGAAAATGTTTCGTTTTCTCAAACGACATTTTCCTAATGTGAAACTTGCAATGCATGCAGGAGAATTGGTTTTAGGTCTAGTACCACCAGAAGGTTTGCAATTTCATATACGTGAAGCGATTGAAATTGCTGGAGCAACCCGCATTGGTCATGGTATCGATATATTTTATGAGCGTAATTCGTATGAACTTTTATATAAGATGAAAAAGCTTAATATTGCAGTTGAAGCGGTTATGAGTAGCAATGAATTTATATTGGGTATTAAGAATGAAGCACATCCAATGTTAGTATACAAAGCACATGGTGTACCTTTAGTAATTGCTACGGATGATGCAGGTGTATCACGTTCAACTTTGACTAATGAATATTTGATGTTTTGTGATCGATATAGACCGAGCTATGCAGAATTGAAAACTCTAGTGTACAATAGTATTCACTACTCCTTCTTGGGCAGCAATGACAAACAACAACAATTAAAAAGACTAGATGATCGTTTTAGAGATTTTGAAGCAATGATTGCCGATGTCACTGTTACATTAGATGGTCCTAGTACACAATCTTCAACTTCCTACTTCAGAAAAGACCTCTCAAATATTATTTTATTTTGTTGCTCAGTGTATTTCTTGATCGAACTAGTTTTTTAATGAGATCAATAGAAACACAAAATAAAAAGCTCGGAAAGAAAAATTATTTTGAGGGATGTGGATGTGTGCCTCTGTTCACTTATCTTACGGTCGCTTACACTCACTCACAAGAAAAGTACTGACAAACCATCTGAGTATGTCATACTAAGAACAATTAAAAAATCATTTGATAAAATTTCAAATTTATTAACATCAAAAACTCCTATATGATATTGATTATAATATACAATCGAATTTTTGTCAACATCATTTATCGACTCAAAAATAATATTTTAGAAATATTAAATATTTGATAAAGGAAATAATCAAAATGATTTAAAATTTTTAGAATAAAATGAGATTAAAGAGAATAACAATCTATATAATCCTTTTTTCTTACCATATCATTGCTCTACTCAGTTTATTACTTATAAAACATCTTAAACAATCTGTCTCTAATAAAATATATTTTATTTATCAAACAATGGGCGAATGTTTATTTTATAAAAATAATAATCAAATCATGGTATTTCTTTTTAATATTGATTTGATTATCTCATAGTTGAACTAGAACATTCATTTTTACACAATAAACACTCTTTAAAATAGTTGCAAAGATATATCGATAAGAAAAATGTCGAGAACTATTTTTTTCTATACTTTAGACCGAACTTTTGATCATTACTAATGGAAATCTTATTGATAAAAAAATAAGATTTCTAAACATTTATAGAATATTGAGCTGGATTTAAATTCATTTTAGTACTAAAATATCTGATTAATTTACTTATAGTTCGTTTTTGTTGATGTCAATAAAAGACGAAGAAATATATACAATTATTTCTAATATATTGGTCGAAATTAAAATAAAAACTGAACGCTGATCATCCGTGAATAGAAACTTTAATTGAATAATATTTCATGACTTAATATCGAAAAATCACTACATCGAATGTGTTCAGCACATTTTTAAAACGACTGAATACTAGTTCACACTCTAAGGATAGAACAAAATTTTGTCATTCGAATCTTTTACGCTGAATCGGAAAAATCTTTTTAATTCAATATGATTTTAGGATTGTCACATTTTCATTCTCATCAGGTTCTGTAAAAAGTAGATAAACTATTGCACCATCGTTTTTAATATTAATTATAAATTCATTCATATTTCTTTTGTATAAAATATTTAAAAAAGTTATTCTCGAGTTTAATTTGCAATAAATAGACAGACATCTGAAACAGGATTTGATATTTATTTAGGTTCATCCGATCGGTGTGTGGATGTGGGAGCTAGTGTGATTGTGGGTAGTTGTGAGTATGGGTGTAGAACAGATAGAGAACTAACACTCACACTCTTTGGTATGATCAATTTTTGACTAGAGTGTGGGTGAGCATTTTCACTCAAGCCACTGCCACATTCACACCCACATCCTCTTCAAGATTTTTGTTGTCATCTTTTGCGAGCAGAGAAGAAACTCTATAATGATAAATAATATCATCGTCAATAAAATAAAAAGAAATATTTTTTACCGACTTCGATTTATAACTTTGTTTATCATTCTTTTACAACCAAGATATAAGAATTGATTCAGCTTCATATATGAAAGGTGAATTATGTCTGCTGCGCATACTTTTATTTATTTCGACGAAAGAACCTATTACTAACATACGCGTCAAAAAGGTAGAATAATAAGTGATTTGAAACTAACCAAAGTCAGTAAGAGTGTGGGTGTTGAATGAATTTGGATGTGCGATTCAGAACATATTCATCCACATTCAAAACCACCTGCACCCAAGATGACTTAGCACAAATTTACAAGCAAATATCAGCAGGAAATACTCGAATCTGCTGCTAAATTTTCTGACGTAATGAACAGTGATAAAGAAAAGTATTTTATATGAAGGCTTTGTAAAAAGTATAATTTATTATCGTTGTTAAATAAGTCTTATCTTTAGAAAATATAGACGAAAAGAAGAGATTATTACTTATTTTATTCGTTCTTTGTTCTTTTTATGAATTGAGAATATTTATGAGAATAGACACGTAGTTGTAATAAGAAAAGTGATTCATATTCAAAATAACTTAGTAATACTTGTTCAGTTGTGTAATATGTTGGATTTTCTAAAATGACTGATGTATGTGTTATTCTTTATTATTTTTATTTGAGAATTGTAGATCTAAATAATTCCAGAATGGCTGACGTTTCTTTATTTCCAAACTCAATTTCTATACCAGTTGTTCGAAGTAAGTAGACGTTTTCCGTTTCATCGAAACATTACTCTGAAAATATTTTAGTCGGCTGTATGTCGGTCAAATTTGATTCAACATATCGAATTCAACTAATTGGAATACTTAGTCCAGATGAATTTCAAGAATCAATGCAAAAAATCAATCAAACGCTCATTTCAATGAATATTTTTATGATCATTCTTCTTCTAACCTCTTTGTTGTGTCCACTAGGTGCATCGATATGTGTAGAGCCTCAGTAGAAAGAGAAGATACATCTGTTCCATTTACGATTGATATATTTTTTGGCTTTGCCATTGTTCTGTTCATCTTATCTTTTATGTCAGTTGCTCCTTTAATTTTTATTGTGCCTATCTGTCTCAAACGAACACGAGAAGTAATTGCTAAAGAATCTTTGAAATATTGTTCACGATTACCAACATCATGCGATTGGAGATTGGAGAACGGGGCCGGAAACGATGTGCCATGTCCTAAAAGTAACAAAATAATGTGCTATCGTGTAAGTATCATTTTCTTCATTTCCTTTAAAAATAACTAACTACGAAAATTTTATTTGAAATCTTTATTTTTTCCAGATAGTGATTGATATTGGTCCTTCTGTTCCTTTCGTGCATAGTAATCCAATCGATTATTATTCAAATAAAGATGTTGCCGTACTCGAAATGTCTTTTGAACGAGAGGGTGTCGATGATCTTCCACCATATCCAGATTCCGATACAAGATTTTGCTCTCAATGTAGTTTACCACAACGTGATTCAACAGCTAAATTTTGTTCATCATGTGGACAATCACTTAATGAACACTAAAGAACTTCTTTTGATATCTAATAAAGAACTCTGTGCAAATGCATACCTTCTGTTTTGTTTTGAAATCTTACTAAGCTTTTTGCTCAATCGTCAAGTGAAGTTTTGTTTTAATTTTAGTTCAAATACAAAAACAAATATGACTGATATTCCTCCACGTCCAAAGTCCATTTTTATACGTCTTCATGATAGTAAATATCGATTCTTTTATTTGACATATTCTTATCTATAACTTTTTCAAATGGATGTTTTAAAACAGGATTTGATTCAAGATATCCACGTGATCTCTATGGAATTATAAATCCAGATGAATTTCAAGAATCAATGAATAGAATAAATCATCCAATTTTATCAAAGAAAAAGAACTTTTACATTATAAGCATCATTTCCCTTTTTCTTGTTACACTTGGAATATGCCTTATCATTGCTGCAAAAACAACAGCTAATCCTAATTCAGAAATTGGTGCATTGATGATTATTGGAATTTTAACAATTCATCTTGGACTATGGCCTTCTTGTATTGCCTGTTGCTTGATACATTATCGACGTGATAGAAAACTAATTGAAGCAGTCGAGAAAGAATCAATTAAATATTCTTGTAGATCTCCGACACCATGTGGTTGGAGATTAGAAAGTCCAAACTACACGACTGGCAGATATGAAAACGAGTTCAGTAATGTAAGTATTATAGTTTTATGAAGAAAAATGTTTTTATAACGAGAAACGTATACTCTTTTCAGCTAGTGATTGATATTGGTCGTTCTATGATTGCAGAAAGTGAAATGTGTGATTCTAATCAAGTCACTCCAATATCAATATTATTGTCTCAACATCAAGATAATTCTACACCTCCTTCATATTCTCAAGAAGACGATTCAGTATCAATATCATTGTTTCAACATCAAGATGATACTTCTTCACCTCCACCATATTCTGCTCAAATTCCAAGATTCTGCTCTCAATGTAATGCGCCACGACCAGATCTGACAACTAAATTCTGTTCATTTTGTGGACATTCGTTCGATAAATATCAAATATGAACCTATGAAAGTTTCATACGAAATCTATATCTTTTTTTGTGTAAAACATTTTTCATATAATACATAAGCACTATTGTTTTTTACTCTACGCAACAGTATCTAATGATTTGCGTGAATGAAAATGTCAACAATTGTTAATTCAGAGTTACTTCACCTCTTTACATACAGTATACTTGAATAACGAGTGTTATCTGCATAGCAAATATTTAATGAAAGTAATAGATTTGATAAATACAGTATAGGATTCATATGAAATAATAACATAAAATATAATACATAGATAAATAAATCAAAGATGGACAAGAAATGAATTTATTTAACAATATAATATAAATATAGGAAAACTAGTTGTTATAAGTAAATAAATAACTAGAGCTTTCGATTCGTCAAGGAGTCATTAACAGTAATGCTTTATTTCTCAAATCTTTTATTTTCATCAAAATCTCGTGGTTACATAGGTTAATATTATATGATGGATAGTTCATCACAGCAATAACGTTATGAATCATTTATTATTATTTATTATAGAAGTATGTTATTCAAAAGAAAATATAGAATTAATGTAAATTTAGAATAATTGTTCAATATAATTGATTTAGATTGTAATGAATCATCAGAAAGATATTGTTGAATAACACTTCGTAGTTGTTCAATGAGTTCTTCAAAGCCTGGAATAATGTCTTGGCTTTGAAATGACACGCGTTTCTCTTTATTTTGCCAATTGATTTGAATCCATTTCTTTGGGGAATCATGAATCCGGTACGGGCTTTTCACATAATCAGGTAAAGCAAGAAATTCTTTTGGATTAACAAGGTTAATTAATTTCTCCCATTGATTCAATGAATATGAATACTGCTTTGTTACAGTCGGATATTCAGTTCCAGGATCATATGCTTCTTTCAAAGCAACTATTTTCATTGGAATTTTTGTTATATTAATGGACGTAATACAATAACCGCGACAAAGACCACCTGAAGTGCCACTTGAAATCGAAAGAATCGTTATCTGATCATAATCTGTACCATCGATTGTTGTTAAAAGCATTATAACAAAGAAAATCGACCAGCAAAATGCTTTCATTATTTGTTAGCTTAAGAATGTCTTTAACTTTACTACAAAACTTGTAAATGATGTGATTGTATCCGTTGATTAACACGTAAAGAAGAAAATGATTCGATGTCGTTCGTTTATATAGGAGAACACGTAAAACAACTATTCGATTGATCCAAAAGAAAATTAGTCTGTATCGATTCACATATTAATCCTTTATTCAGCATTTCCTTTCTTTATGGGTTGGTCACTGTTTCACTCTTATCATTCTTTCTCATTCATTTCTCGTGTATAGACTCGTGTTACACATGGGACAAGAACATTTGTAGATACAGCTTAGTTGAATAAATATCGTTTCGTAAAGACAAAGATTAATATATGTCTGTTTATTTGTCACGATAGTGACAGATCAATTGTTCGAACGTGATATTATTGTAGATCATGTTAATCTAACAAAACTAATTTTGATTGAAGAAGATTGAGAATGCATCCTATTCCGCGATGTTGAACATTGGAGGAATCAGTTCCGCACCGGAATCGATTCCGTCCAATTCCGGGAACTCGATCGACACACAACATAAGACACCCAGTCGAGATTGATCGAGTTCGACCGATTCCGGAATTGCACGGAATTCCCACCGATTCCGGAATTGCACGGAATTCCTACCGATTCCGGAATTGCGGGAATTGGTTCCGATTCCGGAATTCCGCACCGGAATCACACCATCCACCTCACCCACATTTATTGTGTTGTACTGATAAGTTATCACACCATCCACCTCACCCACATTTGTTGTGTTGTGTTGATAAGTTATCCCGTTTGGATACGATCTAATTCCGTTACGGAATTCCGGGAATTGCATCAAGACGGAATTCAGTGGAATTGGACGGAATTCCTGGGAATTCCTACCGATTCCCACCGACTCCGGAATTGCGTGGACTACTACTAATTACGGAATTACACGGAATTCCTACCGATTCCGGAATTCCTACCAATTCCGGAATTATACGGAATTCCTACCAATTCC